AGATTTCATCTCACGATATAAAACATCTACACTGATCAAACCTTAACTGGGTACCTTAACAAGTATTTATAAAAATATTTTTGGGGAATTTGTGAAACTCTTACTCTGTTTTTTAATACTTTATGTGGCTTCTTGAATCAACTACTGCTTAAAATTAAATTAAACTACCGTTTATTAAATCCCATATGGAAATTAAATATTGTTATAAATCATGTTAGTCAAGGTTCTTCAAAGAGTTGTTGTTGGCAGGAAGGAATTCCTGTAGCAGTCTGTATTACAGCAAGTCTGAAGAAGCCTCTGACTGAAGAGACGTTGTAAAGCGGTTTCAGTTGTCTGTAATTTTCATGATTATTATTCTTTTGAAGAATCCTTCTTTGGTTTCAGAGCCAACTTTTTTTAAATCAGATTGGTTAGCTTATTTAAGTCATTTGTTATGACAACAAATGATGGCAGAAGAGATTACGTACTGCACAACAAATTTATAGAAGAAATGCACCATCTTGTTGGAAAAACTTTAGGATCTTAGCTTTGTCAAGAAGTACAGGTGTTTATAAGTCAGTTTGAGATATGTGAAGCCTTTTATTTTATTTTTAAATAAACTAAAGTATACTATGTCTCACGATCCCCACTGGTTTTTATGGGGTCTTTTCAAAAAGTTGCAAGAGAGATCTGCCAGTTCTGTTTGACTTTTGAAGCTTTTTAACACCCCAAACTTATTTGTGTGAGTTTATTTTAATGACTTCAATCCAGTTTTACGATCAATAATTAGATGTCTGGTTTTCATCACTGATCGATTGATTTGTTCTTTTACTAGGGGAAAAACCTAAAAGGCAGACATTTTGTGGCTTTAGACCAAGTTAGATCAGACCGTTTTAAAAAAAAATCATTATTGTTAGGCTAGTTATACCTGGAATTGTTTATCTATTTTTTTTTTTACAAAGGAAGATTCTTTAAAAAAAAGGATCATTTTTGTTTTATGTATTGTCACCAGTGATGTCTTTTAATGCAGTCTAAAAATAAATATTCATCAAACTGAGGAGATGTTATATAAGACACAGTTGATACTGTTGCCTCATTTGTGAAAATATAATTTGTCCAGTACCAAGTTGTTGCTCTTTTGGCCTTTCAACCACTCATAATTGGGTTTAGCTTTAAACCTAATATAGTCAAACACTCTAAAGTTTGACTGAATATTTGATTGTTGATCAAATATTCTGTAAAGACATGGCTTGTGATTCATATAAATTAGATAAATATAAATTAGACTTTGTGGTTTTATTTTTGGTAGTTAGACAAACAAAATGCTTACAGAAGTTTTTAACAGATTAGAAATGTCTGAATATTTAGTTTTAATAATGCGTATAGAGTATTTTGGTCTAAGAATAATTCAGTTTAATTATTGCAATCATAAAGCTGGACCACCTGTGATGTGATTTTAATGCAGAAATAAAAAGCAATTTGTATGTTTTTACAAATTAAAAAAAAAAAAGTTGACTGAATATTAAAGAACAATTTTTAGGTTGGATCTGAAATAAGTTATAATTACTAAGGACAGCATTAAACTCACATTTCTCTGTTATCACAAATATATAAAATATTTCTCCGGCTTTGTTAGACCATCCTAATTAAACTAGATTTTACATTTTTGCTGATTAAATGCAGTCTACATACTTTTAAAAGCAGTAAAAGAAAACCAAAAAAACTTTAAAATACTTAAAATCCACAAATCAGATGCCAACTTCAGTATTTTCCTGTTGATTTATGTTTACCTACATCAGTTCAGTGGAAACAAACCGTCTTTAATTCACATTTCTGAAGCGTTACAACTCTGACGAAGAGGCCATTTCATAAAGTTCAGAGGTCATAGAGATGCAAAACTATTCATCTTTGTATCATAATTCAATCTGATCCAGAATTTCTGGTATTTTTTTCAGTTACTAATCTCTCTCTGCATATGGCAAAGCTGTTTTATTGTTTACGTTTGGGGCTGTTGTCTTAAACTCTAGATTATTGTGTTTTGCTGATCCTTGGAAGAAAATAATGTGATAAATTGTCTCCAAACTTCTCCAAATTGTCTTTTGGAGGAATTAAATATTTCACAGCTCTTCTTCTGAGTTATTTTCCTTTGGATTTCATACAAATGTGACTGGATGCTTAAGTAATCTGTTATACATCATTAAAATTCATGATTGGTTGGAATACATCAATCCAAACCCTTTGGGTGAATTCACACCAGCCATGTTTAGTCCGCTTTAATTGAACTCTGGTCTGTTTAGAAAGTTTGATTTGTTTGGGGAAGTGTGAATGCGTAGTCAAACTCTGATTTGGACCAAAAATGCAAACTCTATTCTGCTTACAAACATCAGTCTTAGTTTTGGTGAAATTAACTCTGGTGCAGTTCGAATGCGTATGTGAACGCCAAAAGTAAGAAGTGGACTACAATCCAGAGCATTCTGGATAAAAACAACCAAAACAAAAATCTGACGCTACTCAATTTTTGTTTATTTTGTGAAGAAGGAAGTGTTCTTCAGAGGTTTGTGTGTCGGTTTCTTGGTGCAGCACCACCTCTGGTGAGGAGGGGAGCAGGCTTTTCAAAGTGTTTGGTTTATTTAACATTGCAGTGAAAGAGAACCACACCAGATGAAAATGTAACAAATGTTGCAATTTTCTACCAGACTACCAGATGTGAAAACACGTTAGATCTGAACCGATTGATGATTATTAAACACGACATTTGTAGCCCAAATAAAATGTAATTGATTGAATAAGCAATTAATCAGTTAATCAGACAACAAATCAAAATGAAGGTGATTTCAATTATTTTTTGAAGGGCAATTTTGTTTAGAGACTTCATAATTCATTTTATTTATATTTTGGGTTGTGTGTGGTTTTAATTTCAGTTTTGTTTTTGTTTTTATTTTGGATATTTAAAATTTCATTATTTACACAATTACAGTTTATTGGTTTTGAAGAGAGGAAACTTGCTTTACTATGCAATGGTGAATATTTTACTTAAACTGTTTGGAAACATTATAGCAGTCACAATAATTCCTGGGACAATTTATCAAACCTTACTATGACAGGTTTACTTGTAATCATGATTATTTTAACCTTTTGTTTAAAAAAAAAAAAACATTTTTTAAATCTTGCATACAAAATGTACAGTTTTGGCTTAATTACGGCTCTGAATATGTTGTTGTTTAATCAAATAGGCTCTTTTATACTTCTTTTAACGATTAATTGATTCCTAAATTAATTGACAATTATTTAAATAATCGATTAATCACGATAATCGTTTCAGGCTTACCTGTTTCAGGCTTGTCTGTTGCAGTTTGATTATCTGGTTACCCAAAATGTTGCTAAATAAAAAATTTAAAAGAGATGAAAGTTTTACCAGTGCTTATTTAGTCACACTGGTTCCAACTGGATAGCAACTAGACTTTCTTGTTTAATCTAAATAATTTGTTACTTTCTCTGGGTTTTTCATAACTAATGTTTTAAAAGTGTTTTTGTTTTTTAATATTTTGTTGTCTGATAACTTAATTTAGCTGCTCCTCTTGAAGCTATGAAGCTTTCCTTTTCCCAAACCTTTAAAACAATCATAAGTGTTTCTGTGGGTTTGAGTTTTAAACACCATCAGTCTGGGTCTGTTTGGCTTTCAGAAAGCACCAAAGAGTTAAATCCCAATACCATAAACGAAGGTTTGTGCCTCAGCTGATCCTTATATTGAGAATTAGCCAGCTGACGGAAACATGGAGCATAATCTCATAAAGGACCGCCATATTTCACCCTGTTTAAGAAATTCAGCTTTAATTCAACTTATTCTGATAACTGAACGGTCACAGGGTTTTATTTTCCTCATCAGATCAACCTTTCACTGTAAATTTAAATGGATGAAGGCCTAAATTGCATTGGTATGACATAGAAATTTTTATGCTTTTTTTTTTTTTTTTTTTTTTAAGTACCTTTCTGCCACACTATCTTGCATGTAAGGAAGTAGGGCTAAAAAGCAGAAATTTGGGTCTTCAAAGTTGCTCTTAATGGATTAATGAGTGGGAGAAATTTAATCTGCATGTTCTTCCCGAGAAGAAGAAGTAATAATCTTCTTCTATGGTGCACTGGTGCATCCTCACTGTGTGTGAGTCAAATGTTGTGGAGGATTTAGTGGATCTTTGCAAATAAAAGTCCCTTCTGGCATTGTGTAACCCGACTATGAGCCAACCAGTGACATGCGGTCAGGGGAGGCAGGTGAGGCAGAGCCTCACATGTCATCATGGAAAAACCATTTATANAAAAGTTTCAACCACAAAAAAAAATAGACTAAATCAAAAAATTAGTGATTTCAATCAAAAAAAAAAAAAACAACTTTGCGTTTCTCTAGAAAATAGCCTTTTGCAGATGCTGATTTGATTTCACAGCAGGAGTGGTTCATGTCCTGGTAAAACGGTAAAGTACTGATCCCCCAAACTCTCAAATGATCTTTGCTTCACAATCCTTTCAAGGATTGGCACTTTTATTATAGTATATGCTATATCCTAACTCTTGCACCAAATGAAAACCTAAACTTTTCTCCTTCACTATCATCAAAATTAACAGTAATAAATACCTGAAATATCTGATTGTGGTATAATAATTTTTTTCTATGCTATGTTTTCTTATGGTAAATTCTATTGATTTCAGTACATTTCCACACACTTATTGACAGGTTTTAACACATATGCCAAAAGGAACAGAAGCGACCTCGCTCCTTTGACTCCCACATTTGCTGACAGACTAAAAACCTTGTGAACCCTGACCTGGTTACCATGGTCACGACAAAAGACTGGTTGTTAATGGGTTATTTGTCAGTAACTGTTGACTTGATGTTGATGCGGGGCAAAATCTGGTAAAATAATGGGCATTGATTTTGCTGAGGTTTACAATAAAGGGCATATAAAGCAAGGGGATGTAGAAAAAACATAAACACCTCCAAAAAGCTCAAGCTTTATCTGTTTTCTTACCTGTGAAGATTAACAGGATCCCAACCGTGACTTGCAGACAAAGAGATATGGCGATTAGGGTGACGACGGGGGTGTAAAAGGAACTTTTCGCCCCCTGCTCCATCACGGCTTTCAGCTGGGAGGCGTTGGCCATCAGCAGAGCCAAATCCAACATGCTCTCAGCTGCACTCTTCTTATTGGCATAGTGGTTCATGTTCAGGAGGGGTGGTCCACTGGGCTGAGCATCAGGACGGGTGGCCTAACAATGAAACCAAAGCAGAAATGACTTGGAAATGATGAATCTGAAAAGAATGCGTGGAAATGAACGGAAAAGCAAACTCTGATGTTTTGCTCAATCAACAGAGGAAAACTGCACGGTGATGGGACAAGCAGTAATGCTGCGCTTCCTGTGCAAGGACGTCAGGGGATCTGGTTGCTGTTCTGAACTAATTGGAAAAACAAGCAGCCATTACTGAAGAGTGACTCTTAAAAACAGAGCCATTAGTGTAGCAAGAAGGGTAACTCTTGTTCACAAGCAGTTTAAGCATCTGAGGATTAAATAAATCAGTTCTACTTCAACATTTCTCCATTTCTCCCTCTTTTTTATTTCATGTCTTTTTTTCTTTCTTTCTTTCGATCTCTATTTTTTTTCCTGTTTCTGTTACCCTGAGTTGAACTCTTCTGTTCCGTAATCTGTTGACTTTACAAATCAAAGCAATGATGACTGACTGTCCTGTACCTTTAATTAAGCTGGTAGCGCGAGGAGACATATTGACCTTTCAGTCATAACCCACTCTAACTGAATATAATTACAGAGTTAAGAGTCTGGGCTGAATAAAACATAGAATTATATTTTAAGGAAAATACATCATTTTAAATATTTTAGCTGTACTTAATACAGAGGAGAAAAATTGTGGTATAAAAATCCTTTTATACCACAATAAATATATACAGTGCCACAATAACCACTTCATAATTTGTCCCATATTAACCACTAGTGCAATTAGTTTTTGTGAGCATTTTGTGTGACTCTCCAACAGAAATTGGTGCAAAATTGTTGAGCGACAGGAAAACAATACTTGCATGTCGAAACACCTTTAATAAATAAAATCAGAGAGCATCTATCTCAACTGACTAATATATAATACCGCAAGCTTTGGAATGAATATCTCAAAGAGCACTGATCAGGCCAGCACCTGAAAATGGCAAGAGCAGAGAGTTAATTGGAAGATGGATGGAGTTGAATATAGGACAAAGATGGGCGAAAACCCTGAGGTTCACCTTCCAGCAGGACAACCACCCTGAACATACAAACAGAGATATAGAGTCAACATCCAGATCTGAATCCAATTAAGAATCTGAGGCAGGACTAAAAGATTCCTGAAGATCTAATCTGATTTAGTTTGACCTATTTTGAAAAAACAGAATGGGTGAGAGACTTACGCAGACTTGCTGCTGTAAATACAGCAAAATGCCACACTTTTTCCAAATACCTGTTTATAAAAAAAAAAACAACAACAACAACAAAAAAAACATGTATCATCTCCCCTTCACTTCATGATAACTCACTACTTTATTTAGCTGTTCCAAATTAAATACAATATTCTGATATTTGCGGTTTCAATGTGACAAATGATGTGAAAAGGTTTATAGGGTATGAATACTTCTACTAGGCCCTCATCCTCTCTATGAATTATCAGCATGTATCCTGAGATATGTTAAGTTTCCACTGAATTGATTCTTGTGTGGGCAGTGGTTATGTAACAGATGATTAGCTTGGCTTTTGTTGTGAGTCCACTCCATCCTAGTGGACTTTGCACTCCAAAGAAGAAATTGTACAGGCCTGGATTAGCTTGTTTATTAGCTGAAAGCTCAAAAATAATCTTCCTTCTTAAAACAGTAAAAATGAAGCAGAGTTTCTTGATAAATTTCCAGTAAGATCCTCTGTTTACAGACATATAGCTGACCCCAATCCAACCACTCTGCAGATTGGAGATTCAACACTTTCAAGGCACAGGCAAGCTCTTTCTCTGGCCTTTCAGTAATTAGCAGCCTCTTCCGGACCGCCAAACCACCCGCATTCTTTTTTCCCATAACAAACCCCTGCAGCTGCAGAATGATCATCTTGTCAGAGATTAGCCAAACCACTGCACTGGTAACAACTATCTTCCCTCTGCTCCAAGGACAAAGAGACAAGAAGAGCAGCCCTAACCCTAACCCTCTAATTTGCCACAGATCAGGCTACAGCTGAATAACAGTGCCTTCCGGATATTCACAACAATCAGCTTGTATTGGTTGAGTTGATGTCTGAGTGGAGACTACAGACTAAGAGGGGGTTGGATTTTTGGAGCTGGAGAAAACCTTGTGCTACATTTGTGATCAAGTTTTACGCCGGCCCTTAAATAGGCCATCAAGTTTTATTGCTTTGTCCTTCAAACCATCACATCACCCGCAAAATCTTTCCCTGCATTCAACTGGAAACAGTGGGATGCAGTGTAGAGTCCTTGTTACTGTGAATTTAGGGCAAATGCCACAAATGGATTGCTGTCGTGACGTGTCAGGGTCAACCATTCTGCTCTAAAACACTGACACAGGCTTTTCAAAGACAGGGCTTTATCCCAGAGTCAACAGACAACTGAGTGATAATACCTGTTGTGAGACCAGAGCTAGGAAAACATGGAGCCAATGTGTCTAAAAGCACAGTAGCAGAGGGTTTTTGTTTTCTCAGAAAATACAAATAAAGCCACGTCCCTGTTACCATTCTCTTTTAGTTTTATATTTGAACATTAAAGGCCGAGAGAGAGGCATGTTCTCAGGAGCTGTTAGTCGAGGTTTTCTTATTCTTTCTCAGAACAGCATTTAAATATTCTAACTAACTGAAATCATATTGTGATGAAGGCAGTTTGACATTGCATTGAATAAGCATTTCATATTTTGTAATAGAACCCTATCTGTTTTATATATTTTTTTCTGTTTTATATTTCTATTGATGGTCCCAAGACCATCAAAAGCTGGCCCTCAATAAGGAGAGCAAGCCCAAATGTACAATGAAAAACGTCATCTTCATGTGTGTATGTATGGCCCAGTCAAAGTCTACTCAAAACTTTGTTGTTTGACAACACTCTCTAAACTTATGTTTTCATAGAAGAATGGGCAAAAACCTAAACTCCACATGTACAAAGTTGTGCAGCAATAATTTGACACCGTTATCTAAAAAACAAAACAAAACTAAAGCAAATAGTAAAATATGCATTGTTTTCCTTCTTCTTCACTTTGATACAATACTTTGTGTTGTTCTAACCCCTAATATCCAACATAAAGAACACTGAAGTTTCACTTCTGATTAAATTAGGCTGCTTAAAGTCATAAATCTGAAACTGAGACAATTATTCAGAGTACACAATAGTGGGGAAGGTTGAAGCATTTAAATTCCAGAAACTGAGCCCAAACCCTAAATTTAATGAAACAACTTCTTTGTTTGTTGAGATCCCGCCTAGGTTTTGGTTGACTTCCCCTCAATAGAGCTGAACTCACAAACTTACACACTTGATCCCAAACTTTTTTTTTTTTACCTTTTCACATGTTGTCACACAGATTAACACAGTCTAACCCAAATACCTGCATGTCAAACTCTGAGAAACTATACTAAGCTCTGTGCTTGACGTGCAAGAACAATATCCATCACTTTAGACACTGTAAGACCCCTGCATCCATTATTTAGTTAATTGAACCAACTGCTGAAAGACCAAATTAACCTAACTGTTCTGTTGTGTCTTCCCCTCACGTTTCCCTCATGCATAAGCACTTCTTTGGTTTCCATCCATCATGTTGCGTCGGCAGCCCTCTCTTTTCACTCACCTCAAACTCTGGCCCGTCTCCAGAAGAAGATCGACCCAGCTGTAAATCTAATTTCCATGATTCTCTGTAGAGCTTTTATTTTTACAGCCTCGCACAGAGCAAAGCAAACATGGCCTTCTCAAAATGTGACCCAAAATGTGTAAGAATAAAATATGAACTTATTCCAGAGGATGCATGAAATTAAAAAATATTAAATAAAAAAGCATTTGGGGGGGATAAGACAAAAGCCTTTGTGTCTGCTTGCTCTGACTCAGAATGTGATTGGTATTAGATTTCAGTGCAAAACAGTCCCGGATATTAAAAGCCTGTGGAAAGTCCGCATGTAGGATCTCCGCCCTAGAAAACAGCCACGGATTTGTTCTTTCTTTCTAGCTTTCTAGATCAATGCGGGTGGGAGACACTTTATAAATGAGATCAGTTGTTCATTTTCTCGAGCGCAAGGGTATTACATTTTTGCATCTGCTGGCTGAGCTCTGTCAGACAGACGGAAGTATCTCTGGCAACCAGGGTCTTCCTCCTGCCTTGTTCCCCAATCAAAAGCACACAGAGCAACACACACACACACACCTAGACACACGCAGACACACATCCATATGAAATTAAATTGACCCACACAGATTGAGTCTGCAGAGATGGCATAGAGAAGTCTGTTTCCCTGCCTTGTAAAATTGGATGCAGCTTTGGACTTCAGTGCATTGTTATTACTTGTCAAATGGACGCTTTAATTGCCTTATAAACCATAAGGCTAATAAACATTTTGTAAGATGCACAGTTTTACTACCACGTCCAAGTGTGGCTGGAGGAATCATGGCCTTTTGAAGTGAGTGTGTGAGCCTTTTTTTTTTATGTGTGCATTTAGGTCAATGAAGCGGTAACAAAGCAGGGTGCTCATTATTTATAAGGTCACTTAGTGTCGCAATGACCATGAATGTCACCTGAGCTACCACGCTTGCAGATCTCAGTTGAATTGCTTCAGGGATGGACTCATGTGGGGACATGAAAATACATGCCATTGCATACGTACGTCACAGTTATATACTGTAGCTTGCAGAACGTTGGCTAATATAGAGAAAGGAACAAAGTATATTCAAATAACAGAGACCACATGTAGCGGATACCTTTTTATTACAATCTAATAATAGAAGGCAAAAGAAGAAAAACTATGGTTAAAAAGGTGAACTGACAGCAAATGCAAGCAAGATTGCATACTGCTGCAATTACTTTAGCCCCATTTCCTCACAATCTAAGCATTGGCTCAGTTCTTTTATATATTTAATTATTTTCTGCGTCATTAAATCTACAGGGTCTAACATTGCTTTTGTCTTTATTTTGCAATTGTGCAGTTTGCAAGAAAGACCAATAATTATGTACAGCCTGAAAACAAAGCTCAGTGCAGGATAATCTGGGATCTTTTCTTATGAAAAATGATTTCAGATCTCTTACCTCGGCTCCACTTCCCCTGCTGCTGTTGTCGTTCATCATGTTCCAGCGAGCAAAGCTGATGCAAACTGAACTGTAAACTATCCTGTTAAAAGAGAGGAGAGGACCGTACCTGCAACCATATCCCTGGCAGGGCAACAGCTGCACATTTAGTTTTACTGATATAGTGACATAGCATCGTAAATTTGTGTAAATATACCCTCTACAACAGTCTGTCTCTATGATGGGGGTGGGAAATATTTCACAACTATTAGTCTTTTGCAATAAACCTGTGTGAGGATGTTATAATCATACCTGTCTACTAAACTGGCTATCTAGTATGTTAGAAGCATAAGAAACTTGTGCTAAAACCACACAAAATATTATTTTTCAATGGTCAAAAACGTAGGTTAATAAAAAAAAAAAACATCAAGTACAATGCTTTGGAAAGTATTTACATCCCTACCAGTAGGTGGATTCTTTTTACTAAGTCAGATGACAATGGTTAGATTAGATCTTCATAGGAGAAACGAGATCTATTATTTTTGACACACAGTTGTCTGATGTTTGTAATGCAGCCAATATAAGAGCGCCATTTATTTTCCTTGATTCCGAATTGCTGCCCCAATTTAGTTATAGTTGCAAAAGTGTGAGAAAGAAAAACATATGAGAATTTAAAAGTTGCTTGATCTTGATGTCACAGCCTACATATGTGAGTTGAAACCTGGCTTTAACTTGATTAATTCTGCTTTTCAACAAAACAAGGAAACAAACAGGACAAGTGCAGTCCTCTAAGTTGATAAATTATAGTGAGCTTGATGAGTTTACAAAAAAGTATGTCTAGAAGCTTTTAATGGCAGCTACTGTCATTAAATTCACATTTTACTGCTTCTTTTATGTCTGAACTTTCACGCAGTCCTTTAACAAACAAAATCAGTAGTTTTTGACAGGTTTTTTTTGTGCTTGCTTTCTGTGTCTATAGAACTTAATTCGCCTTTATACGAATGACATAGGCTTGCATCGCGTTATAGTTAGTATTTCAAATTCAAAACGAATTTCACTGTCTCCCAGTCAACCAGTCGTTGTCTTTTCTCGTCAAATTTGTGTCTGTCTCTGCTGGAAGGTGCAACAATGTGATGAGTCGGCTGTCTCTGTGGTAGTCCCAGCGTGCTGCGTGATTGGACCGTCCCTGCGGTCGTTACTAGGGGCGTGGAGCCAAGCAAAGTGAATGGGAAACACATTTTTACTGCCTCAGCAGCGCATGAACCCAACGTTGAACAGAGGCGATGACAAGGGAATACAGTTGCGTGCTGAAATTACCTGCCGGGGAGATTACAGAAGAGCTGAAAAAATCCCGTGGTGTGAACCGAGCTGTGTGTTAATTCACCCACAGCCTCAGCGTGCAGCAGCTACAGACAAACAGTCGGTCGGTGAGGTCTCCAAATATTAAAGGATGCGAGGACTTGTCGTTTGATAAATACATCACATTCGTCATTTTTCCACCCTCGGCAGTGGGGAGGGAACGTGCTGCCCGGACTGAATCTGGATTTGCTGGTGTTTCGGTGTGACTCCCGTGCGTGAAAATGGGCTTAATATTGAGATAGGGCGTTCAGAAAGTCCACCCTCTTCTCGCCGTGGACAGTCGGCTAACGTTAGCGAGGTTTTTCTAACTGCGGACCTGACAGGTTCGGTTCGGACTGCTGTGTAAGGTGTAGTCCCGGTGCTGTGTTCGCCTTTCAGCGTTTTCCTTTTCTTCTTAAAGAGGTAAGTTATTTAGTTTTCATCTACATATTTGCTTGTGTCGGTTCAGGGGGTTCATATGATGCGTGGGGTGAGTATATTCAGCGCGTGTAAACGGTTAGCTTGGTTAAACTTAAGTTGTAGCTTGCTAGTTTTTGCTGCACCTGAACGAAGATGGCCTCTGCAAACACTATGGTTTTGTTTAAATAATTTGCTTATATTATGAATCACACCTGCAGACTTTGTCTCGAGGTTGTTTTTTTTTTAAGGTAAAATGCAGGAGATGGCTTAATTTTTTTTAGTTGGTTTATATATTTTTTGTATTTTTACTTCACTAAGTGTAAGTATTTCCTTTGCAGCTCTTTATCTGATGAAATCTCGCCTGTGTCATCCATCCCAGCGCTGTTTAGGGCCTCTGCTGACAAACTGCGTCACCGGGTGGGCGCTGCAGGTATTCATCTGCGAAAAGAGAAGATCTGCATTTGGAAATTGAAGCCATGCCTGGAAGAACCTGGAAACCAAAGTGACTGAACTTTTTAAGTCACCATGGAGCCGGAGACTAGCTGTGGAACTCTCCAAGAGCCCAAGCATTCATCTGTACCCAATTCTCAATGTAATCTCGCCATAAATATGCATGGGCCCATGGGTGATGCAAATGTGAATCTTGTGGACTCTCTAGTGAGAGGTGGAAGTGATCCTTCTTCTGTTCACCAGAGGAATGGGCATCAGAGATTCATCAGGAGAAGTCTGTGGTTTTCAGACACGGATGAGCAATCCTATGAAGCCCCCGAAACTGAAAACCGGAGCAAAATCCTGAACATAAACTTGAGATCAATTGTGGACAGGACACGAGGGACTAGCTGTGGGGTTCAAGAGAGCTCCAGCACTGAAAGCCAGTGTGGGCAAAAAGACAGCGCAACAGAGAGCACCAGTGCGGATGAGGACAAGGAGAGAGTTGGACATCCTTTGAATGTTACTTGCAGCGATGGTGGTAAAGTTGCTACTAAGGCAGTGAGTGAGGAAAATGAAGAGGAAGCAGAGATGAAAGCGGTCTCCACATCTCCAGGAGGAAGGTTCCTTAAATTTGACATCGAGCTCGGGAGAGGGTCTTTCAAAACGGTCTACAAAGGCCTGGATACCGACACCTGGGTGGAGGTGGCCTGGTGTGAGCTGCAGGTAAAGGAACACAAATGTTCCATTTCATTCATATGTTCTGTATGTCTTGTTAAGAATGTAAAAAAAAAAAGTCTTTATTTTTAGAAAGTTTTATTTTCTCTATATTTGAACTTTTTACAGGTCTTTACAGGTTTCTTAAGCAGTCTAGAAAAGTTGGGTCAAGTATTTTCCTGAACTGGTTAAGTTTAGGTAAAAAAAAAGGGAAAATATTCAAATATGATCCATCAATTCCAGTATGAAAATGTTTATGATTTTGATGGTTTTGAAATATTCTTCTCTGTCTTTTGTGGGAGTTTTCCCCTATAGAATGACGCCTCCATTTATCCATTAAAGCATCTTCTAAATCTTATTAGGATTATACATGTGATGTGCTTATAGGCTGGAAGTGGTGGGATTGAAAATAAATTGATTTTATAAGTTTAATGATTTGGAAAAACAAATAGGACTGCTTTTTTTTACGACATAATTTGTTGATCAGAGATGACGGAGTGAAAAATTTTTAATTGTTTATCCACTTTATTTGCTTATTATTTATTTTGTTCATCATACTAAGCAGAACTATATTAAAGATACATTAAAAATAAATATGTCTTTAGGGAGAAATAAAAAAGAATCTTAAATGTTTTTTAAAAACTATAGGTTAATGTGTTTTGAATATTCACTTAAGACTTTTATGTTCTTCATTTATACAAATGGGGGGAAATCCCCAGCTTAATGCTTTACAAAGGTATTAACTAATTATTTCCGTCCTTTGGAGACTGTAACAGGGATTATCTCTCTCTCCCTCAATCTCCCAGGAGGCTTACTAGGGGCTGTAGTAGGCATGACTGACCCCTTAAAGAAAGCAAACCTGTACAGGGTTTGTTTTCTACAATCTCGCTAAATTGCTGACGATTAATTCAAATCATATTCCACCAACCTTCACTTTTAGCTATTCTAGTTTTCCAAGGTAACTCTGTGACACCACAGAGCGGTTACTGGAGCGGACAGTGCTGGACTTGCATGTTGTGACTGGTTCTACGCCCCTAAATCCCTCCCTCTGTGCAACAGGAGGTGGATAGACGCGCAGCAGCTGAGGTGCGCTGTGGCCTGCTGGGAACTGTGCAGCAGCTAGTGGCCTCAGCGCTGTGACTGAGGAGATAAAACATGCTACAGCAGCAGCAGCTACAAGGGAGTGTGCATGACAAATCTGTTGTGTGTGACTGCATTGCTGCGATGCGCTGTGGCATTTGATCGTTCAGTGGGACTCTATAGATAGGAATGAGTAACGTAGCATCATGCTGACTGAATTTGAGTGTCTCTGTGTCTTCCTGAAGCTGAAAAGCAGAGCAGCTGTTTGGTTCACTTGTTGATACAAAGTTGAACAGGAAGCAGTTTGCTGCTTTTTCCCCTTTTGACACATTTACTAACAGACACTCAGGAGTAGATGTCCAGTTTTAAAAAAGTACTGTGGTCTTTACACCTGCCACAAGTTTTGCATGGTTGCCTATTGCCTATTTTGCTTGGTAACTGTCATTTTGCATTTGTATGAGCTTCTTTTAACTAACAGAAAAGAAACTGTCATAATACAATTTTCACATTTTCATCTTTTACAGCAACCATCTCCACCAACTGTTTTTACTAGTTTATTTTACATTGTTTGATATCGACACTAGCTATTTCTTATGTGCAAGGTAGTATTTTGTAGTTATTCCAAGAGCAACTAAGATTTGAAAGATATTTTATAAACCTCTGGTATTTTCTTCTGTTTGCTTTGTAGATCATTAGTCTAGATTGAAACCTTGCTTTTGAGATTTTACTTGGAAGTCTAAAACAAGACCTTTGTGTAATGTAACTTTGGTTGGTAAATTTTAACTATGGTACCTGGCAGTTCTTGATAAGTGATTTAGTTAGTAACTGTTCTTTTTGGTGTTGTGAGAGAGACGGATACGTTTTAGGCTGTTGAGGAAGTTATGACCGTCAAAATGACCATCACATCTTCCTTAAATCTACTATATATCTCCAGATACAGCAGCCAACCATTCATAAGTTGAAAGAAATTTGTATTAAATGTAATCATTGAGTCTAGGATAATCTCTGAAATTTATTTTAGTCAAATTTTATACAAATTTTTATAGTTTTTTTTTTCTAACAAAAACTACATAACAAGAAAAATCTATGGAAAGAATGGA